TAAGTAAAAATGTCCCACCCTTAACTATTACACTGGTACAAAATGTGTGTGTAGATCAGGCCTCAGTTTAAATAATGAATAGAAAAGCAGCAAACAGATGAGCTCCCAAATAAGTGCAGAGAGACCTGGGGAAAAAACATGGTGGATAGAGGTGATGAGATGCTTCAGGTCCCAAGTGAAAACTGATGCTGGAGATAAGCTGATGATGTAAAGAGGAAGGTTGTGGATTCAACAAGCATAGAAATGGTTTCTGAGATGAGAGATGACTGGATACGCTGGTCAACACTTGAATGTCACCCCCTCAAAACAGCCTCAAAAATAGCCTGTTTTATTAGCGAATTTCAGATCAGGACTATTGGGGCAGGGGAGTTCTCGTCCAGTTTCAAGTAAGCAGACAACTACTTTCAGTGTAATTAATAAGAAAGAACACATACTCTGTAAGAAAAGGGGAAGAATAAGAATATAAAGGTGCAATGGACGCTTGAACCTTCATCATTTGCACAAAATGAATGGGAGGCCCATTGTGGATTATCTAATTTTGTGAATTAGCAAAAAGAAAAAAAGACTGTATCACACAATACACATTTTTATGAGTATGGTTTTGCTTTTATTAATCATGACAATATACCTTGGGGCTAGCTCCAAAGCCCATTGACCTCAATGAAAAGACTCTCATTGACATTGGGGCAAGCCCATGGCACTTAAAGAAAAATCCCAAAGCAGTAGTAGAGACCTCCCTGTATCTCCCTGCTTTAATCCTCTCATGACAGATGGAGCAATGGCAGACTGTCAGTGTTTTGGTGAGAATTAATCTGGTTTGCAGATTAACTAAGAGCCTGTCTACATTTAAAATGCTACAATAGCACAGCTGTGCTGCTGTAGCACTTCAGTATAGACACTCCCTACACCAATGGTGGGGGTTCTCCTGTCAGAGTAAGTAATCCACCTCCTTGAGAGGTGATAGGTAGGTTGATGGAAGAATTCTTCTGTCCACCGAATGCTCTCTACACCGGGCCTTGGGTAGGCTTTTGGATTTTTCACACCTCTGAACAATGTAGGTGGGTTAACCTAATTTTCTAGTATAGACCAGCCCCAATTGAGAGTTAATGAGGTTTAACTGTGCATTAAGTGTCCATACATAAATGCAGGTAACAAGCAACACAATCTAGAAGTGATGCCCAGCAATCGGGAGAACCACCTAGTGCACACAGCTGAAACGTGGTGGGATGATTCTCATAACTGAGGTGTGAATGTCAATTGGTACAAGCTATGTAAGAAAGACATAAAGGGAAGGGGGGCAACAGATAATGAATCCGATCATCTTTTAAAGGAGCAGATTTTTGAACACTGATCAGTTCTCCTCCTTCCCGAAAGGGTGGTTGCTGACACATTATGTATTATTTGTATTACAGTAGCGCAGAGGATTCCCAGGCCAGGATCAGAGCTCCATTGTGCCAGGCACTGTACAGAGAGCTTAGGTACAAGTGACCATGACTTGATCACAGTTATAGTCTGCAAGCAGAATAAAGTCCAGACCACTAATATATACATTTAGAGCTTTAATAGGGTCATTTTCACAAAGCTGAAAACAATTATGAGCCAAATGAGCTGGAAAGAAGAAGTTAATCAGAAAACTGTGAATGATAATTGAGAATCATTTAAGAGCATCTTACTAGTTGCCCCAAAAGCCACAATCTCACAATCGAGGAAGAAGGCCATACTGGTTAAGGGCATGGCTACACTTGCAGATGTAAAGTGTTTTGAGTTAAACCAGCCTTTGTAGAGCACAGTAGGGAAAGCGCTTTAGTCTGTCCACACTGACAGCTGCAAGTGCACTGGCGTTGCCACATTAGGAGCTCTTGCAACAGCCACAGAGAGCAGTGCATTGTGGTAGCTATCCCAGCATGCAAGTGGCTGCAACGTGCTTTTCAAATGGGGGGTGGGGTGGAGAGTGACAGGGAGTGTGTTGTGTGTATGTCGGGGGAGAGAGAGTGGGTTTGTGGTGGGTGAGAGCATGTCAGCATGCTGTCTTGTAAGTTCAGACAGCAGCAGACCTCTCCCTCCCCCCGCCTCTCTCTCTCACACACAGCATTCCACAGTAACGGCTTGCATGCCGGCTGTCAGAAACGAAGCCTTGAAAGGGCATTTCCACATTCCTACAGGAGTTCAAAACAATGACAAGAGTGGCCACTTGACTTAAGGGGATTATGGGACGTGTCTGGAGGCCGATCTGAGCGCAGTAACGCAACATCTCGTTCACACTGACTCCCGGGTGTTGTAGCCAAGGCGCAGCAAACATTATTCCTCTCAATGAGGTGGAGTACCAGGAGTGCTCTAGCTGCGGAGTCAGAGTGCTCTACATGCCTTGCCAGTGTGGACAGGGAGTGAGCTAGTGCGCATGGGGCTCCTTTATTGCGCACTAACTTGCAAGTGTAGCCAAGCCCTAAAAAAAAAAAAATAAAAAAAAAAGGACCTGGTTCAGTGGGGAAGTGCAGGCAGCTATAAAAATGATATATAACAAATGGAAGAAAGGGGAGTGGATAATAATGAATATAAATCAGAAGTTAGGAATTGTAGAAAACTGATAAGGGAGGCAAAGGGACGCAATGCTTTGAGCAGGGGGTTGGACTAGATGACCTCCTGAGGTCCCTTCCAACCCTGATATTCTATGATAAGGAGAAATCTATGGCCAGCAGAGTTAAGGACAATAAGGAGTCCCCCCCACCCCCACTATTTTAGGAACTTAAAAGAATCCTGACAATTATATTGATGGATGGATATGGTAAAATTATCAATAATAATGCAGAAAAGGAAGAAATGTTCAATGAATATTTCTGTTCTGTATTTGGGGAAAAACAGATGATATAGTCTCATCATATGGTGATAACAACACTATTTCCATTTTGCTATTATCTCTGGATGATGTTAAGCAGACACTACTAAAGTTAGACATTTGAAAATTAGTGGGTCCAGATAACTTGCATCAAACAGTGTTAAAAGAGCTGGCTGTAGAGCTTGCAATTAATGTTGATTTTCAATAAGGCCTGGGGTACTGGGAAAGTTCCAGAAGACTAGAAAAAAGCTAATGTGCTAATATTTAAAAAGGGTAAATTATAGACCGGGCAGAATGACATCAATCCCAGGGAAGATAATGGAACGGCAGATATGGGACTCGATTAATAAAGAATTTAAAAAGGGTAATGTAATTAATGCAAATCAACAATAGACCTTATCAAACTAATCTGATATTTTTTTAAAATGAGATTACATATTTGGTTGATAAAGGTAACAGTATAGACATAAATAGGCTTCTGTAAAACATCTGAATTGGTACTGCATGAAATTTTGTTTAAAAAACTACAATGATATTAAATTAACATGGCACACATTAAGGGGATTAAAAACTGGCTAACTGATAGGTCTCAAAATGTAACTGTAAATGCGGAATCGTTATCGAGTGGGTATGTTCCCAGTGGGGTCCCACAGGAATCAGTTCTTGGCCCTATACTATTTAACGTTTTCTCAAAGACCTCAAAGTAAATATAGAATCATCACTGATAAAGTTTGCAGATGATACAAAAATTGGGGAGTAGCAAATAATGAAGAGGACAGGTCGCAAATAAACAATTGTGCTTATTTCTGTATTAAGGACCTGTCCTCTTCATTATTTGCTACTCCCCCAATTTTTGTATCATCTGCAAACTTTACCAGATAAACAATATGTGTTTTAATATGGCTAAATGTAAATATATACTTTTAGGAACAAAGAGTGAGGTCATACTTACAGAATGTAGGTGAGGTCATACTTACAAAGAGTGAGGTCATACTTATATACTTACACTGACTCTGAAAAAGATTTGGGTATTGTGGTAGATAATCAGCTGATCATAAACTCCCATTAGGCCAAAAGGGCTAATGCGATCCTGGAACACATAAACTAGGAATTTTGAGTAGGAGCAGAGAGGTTATTTTACATCTACATTTTGCACTGATGAAAGCTGTTGGAATATTGGGTCCAGTTCTGATGCCCAAAATTCAAATTGATAAAATTGGGGAGGGTTCAGAGAAGAGCCATGAGAACAATTAAAAGATTAGAAAACATGGCATACAGTGATAGACTCGAGCTCAATCTATTCAGCTTAACAAAAAGAAGGTTAAGGGACGACTTGATTACAGTCTGTAAATGCCTACATGGGGAACAAATATTTAATAATGGGCTCTGCAGCATGGGCGATGGGTGAAGCCCCCCAGCTCTGCCCCTTCCACACCCCACCCTCCAGCAGGAGCCACAAGCCCCCTCCCCCCGTCTGCAGCTCGGAGCGCCCCCTCTCCCCCTGGGCTGGCCAAAGCCTTGCCATGCCTCTTCTCCCCGGACCCAACCCCCGCAGGAGAAAAGCGTCCGTTAAGATGCTTTTGATATGCCTCATGCAGGTTCTGGGGCAACCTGCAACCGGGTGGCCCAGCAGCCGTGGCAGCACCAGGGGAGGCAGAGCTTCCCCAGGCCTATTATACCCGCCACCCATGCTCTACAGTCTAGCAGACAAAGGTATAACATGATTCAATGGTTGAAAGTTGAAGCTAGACAAATTCAGACTGGAAATAAGGTATACATTTTTAATGGTGAGAATAATTAACTACTGGAACAATTTACAAAGGGTGGTGGTGGATTCCCCATCATTCACAATTTTTAAATCAAGATTGGATGTTTTCTAAAATATGTGCTTTAGGAATTATTTTGGGAAAGTTCTATGACCTGTGTTATACAGGAGATCAGATGAGACGATCACAACAGTCCTTTTTGGCCTTGGAATCTATAAATCCATGAATATGAAAACCACACGCTTGGACACCTACTCGACCTGTGCACCAAAGCTCCATGGTTTCTGTATGATTTTCATGCTCAGTAAAGAGATAAATAAAAAGCTGGCAGATATAATTTTATGATTACCTTAGACACCCTAGACTTTGGCCAGATGGCAGACTCTAGAGCCTAAGTTTTAGCTACTGGTTCTAATTCAGTGATGTCCTGTCTTTCCTCTCAGCTTTATAGCTCATGCTGCAGGTTGGATTTGTATTCCACAACTTTCTGCTATAGGTTTCTTGACTGATCTCCTTGCTTTCATCCTGCCTCACCATGAATACCATCGCTAACATAATGCAGGAGCTGCGTGACTATTGGGCAGACCATTTCTCACGCAGATTTCTACCTAAGAGGCCTCCCCTTCGCCGAATCACCTCCATTTCCACTTTCTACCTCCTGGACCACAGAACCCGGCAGGCTGAACTAGGTTTGGATTACGGCCGTCCGCGGGCTCAGCTGAGTGATGCCAAGTTTGTCTTCCAGGATGGCAAATGGCAAGGCGAGAGTGGCCTCTCTCATCGGCTGCCACTGCTGCAGTTATTCTCCTCCCATGACCGGGAGCAGTCCTGTAAAGTAATGAAGAAGGAGAACAAGGCTCTCCTGGAGGAGAACAATTACCTGAAGCTGCAGCTCGAGCTGCTGATGGACATGCTGACAGAGACCACGGCCCGACTGCACGTGGTGGAGAAAAAGATGGACATCCCTACATGGCATACCAAGATGAAGAAGCCAAATAAGGTGTTGATGCTTAAGTCCTAGCAGGAACCTTGGATGCAAGACCAGGGAGTTTACACTTGCTTGGTTCCAGAAGTCTAAAAAATTCCTGAATCAAATTAACTTGTAGAGTGATTTTTGCTTTAATTGTATGTATTAAGTAAATTAGAATTTATTTTATGACTCCCAGTTAGACAGCAAGAAATCAGTCAGTACAGTTCATTACACTTCAAAACCAAACCTGACTGTTCATGGATTGTGTCATATAAACAACAGAAAAGCAGTTTTACCCATTATTCAAATGCAGAAGTTGGGATTTAAGAATATTCTTGAACTTAAAATCACTTTTAACTAACAGTAGAATAAAATAATAAAACTTAGCACTTTTATGGTGCTGTTCATCTATAGATCTCAAAAAACGTTAAAGGAAATATCATTACTTCAATACTACAGTTGCAAAACAGATGGCAGATAGAAAGGAAGGATGATCCAGTCAGGGCTGCCCAGAGGATTCAGGGGGCCTGGGGCAAAGCAATTTCAGGGGCCCCTTCCATAAAAAAAAGTTGCAATACTATAAAATAGTATATTCTCGTGGGGTCCCCTGTGGGGTCCGGGGCAAACTGCCCCATTTGTCCCCCCCCAGGCAGCCTTGGATCCAGTGGTTAGGGTGCTTAAGACTCAAGAGACCTATGTTCAATTTTCTACTCTGCCAGGGGCTTCCTGTGCATGATGACCTTGGTCAAGTTGCCTAGTCTCTCAGTTCTCCAAATGTAAATGGGAGTGATACCTCCCTTCCTCTCAGCGGGGTTGTAAGGATAAATACAGTCTTTTTAAGATGGTGAGGTACTAAGGTGATGAGGATTCCCTAGAAGTGGGAGCACAGCCTTTATGATACTCTTCAGGCTAAATCACCTGCGGATGATCTGCGTCAGTGGTATCATCTCTTCTCCCTCAGGATCTGCTGGGTGTTATCAAGACCCAAGCAGAATTATTTCAGAACCAAAAAACCCTTGTAGTATTCTGAGTCCAGCGGTATTTTCACAAGACTGTAGCAGGTCCACTGTAATATATATAAAAAAATGAGGCCAAATTACTATCTTCAGTGCAGTTTGAGCAGCCTGGCAGTAATATGGAGAGTTCCCTTGGAGCTCTCCCTCCAGACCACCCTGTGGCTATACTCCAGATTCAGGGATCCATTTGCCTTTGTGTTGCTTTGTCTGTCTGTTGCACGAGGAGAAGAATGGCCAGTGAGTCTGTGTAATGGCAGATAAGCCAGCCCCACCCCTAAATCCCCCTACAATGCAGCAGAGAACAGGGACCCCCCTCCCAAACAGGGCTCCATGATGCTCTCTCTCTCTCTCTGATGAATGTAGTCTCTCACCCAGTGTAGTGGACCTACCTGCTGCCCCTAAATGACAAGCTGTCGGTCGCCAATTTTAGCCCAGCTGCCTCACCGGATTTTAAGAATAAAATGTTTGTAACGTTCTGCTTTAACATCACAGACTCAGGGACCAAATAAACCACTGATTTACATCCCATGCAATCTCTGCAGGATAGAGACCACATCTACCTTTCTGTATGACCAATGCCTGGCAAATCAGGGCCCCGATTCTGGTTGTAGCCGGTGGCTGCCATCATAATATAAATACAAAAAAAAACACATTTCCCCATGGCGTGGGCTACATCTTAATACAATTCATTGTGAGCCGCCTCTACCCTTCCTCCCTCATTTACATTCATGCCGCCCCCCATTACTCCTCCCATTTGCAATCGGGCACCCCCCCCCCCTCAAAAGAGCGCAGCCCACCTCCCATTTGCGCGTGCGAGACCATTTTGTGGCAATTGCTTACATAGGAGTATTCCGTTACTTTTAACTTTTTTTGCGGCTGGTTCCTGAGTCTGAGGGTGGCTTCCATTTCCTCCCCTCCGATGGAGCCGCAGTTATTAGTGGAGGCAGCCAGACTGTCTTCTCCCTTCCCCCCCCCCCCCAGCTGTTTTCACAGGCCTCCAAGTTCCTCAGTCGATGCAATAGGCGGGTATTAGCAAAAGCAACTGGGAGCCAGAAGGCGGAGCCAGAAAGCACATGACGCAGCCGCTTTCCCCGGAACGATTGCAGCCATAGTGGATCTTTGCCCTCCCGGTTATATAGCCCGCCTGGGTGGGTAGCAGCCGCTCCTCCTGCGGGACCGAGTACCTCTGTCGCACCGCGCTGTAAGGTTTGCGGGGGATGCAGTCACGCGTGGGTCTTGCTGCCGCCGTTCCGGGCAGGGCTTTGGGGCGGGGGGGCCTTGCTGCTCTGTGGGGCGGCGGCGGCGGGCGGGCGGGCAAGGGGCAGGAGCTGCCTCCTTCAAACTCCCATTTTCTCCATGGAAACATTTCACCGAGTGACCCCCCCCCCGTGCTCGTGATATTGTTTGAGTGGTTATTGCCCGGGCTACGTGGAAACCTGCCATGTTGTGTGTGTGTGTGTGCGGGGGACTGCGGTTCCTAACACTCCTCCTGGGCCGAGCGCGGCTCGGGGCCCGCCTGCCAGCTCCGACACCAACGGCTGGGCGCTAAAGCAGCCTCGCTGCCCGCCCCTGGTTTCCCCTCCCCCTCCCGTGGCGCTTTTCTGGCCACTTCCCCGCGTAGGTTAGTGGCTCTCTGCAGAGCCCGGCCCCTTCCACGGCGGCAGCGCGCGCTGGCGCTGCTGAATTTCACCCTGCGCGCTTGGCTGGCTTCTGGGGCGGGGGGAAGGGAGGCTGCCGCCATTTTACACCAGGGCCTGCGTTTGGCCTCTCGGCCGTACTGAGCCGCCGCCTTGGCCCCCAACTGATTGGGCGCGCGGGAGAGGGGCGGGGTTATGTAATCTGACGTCACAATCCTGCCACTCGGTAATCCGCTATTTATAACGCTGCCCAGAAGCCGCCCGCCTGTGGAAGGAGAAGAGCGGTTGGGGCTGGGTCGGGAGCTCAACCGAGTTATACTTGAAACAAACAAAAAACAAAACAAAAAAAAGGAGGGGGGAAGCGTGAACGCCGAGAAGGCCGTTACTGGGGGTAGCCTGACGCCCTCTGTCTTCGTTGTCTAGCGACCGAGCCTTCCCCCTGCCGAGTTTTTTTTTTAATCCGCGAGCCCCTGTGAGCGCGTGGGCAAGATGGACCCTCTCCGCAGCGAGGAGACCGAGGGAGAGATTCCCGGCCTGGGTGAGTATCCGCTGGCCAGCGCGCGCCGCGGGTTCCAGAACGTTCCGAGGGGCGGCCGCGCGGGGATCGGCCCAGCCTGGGGGCCGCGCAGGCCGCGCGAGCCCGGAAGTGGCGGGTGGGAGGCCCTGGAGGCCGCGGCCTTCCCCTTCTCCCCCCTCCCCGCCTCGTGGCGCACAAAAGAGTGTTGCAGCCCGCTGGGGAACGTCCCCCCCCGTGTGAAGGGACCCCCCCGGGCGGTCTGGGTCAGCCCCTGCCCCCGATTGCGGCGGATGGGCCCCGATCGCGGCCCTGTCTCGGCGCTAGGCCCGTGTCGCGGCCCACAGGCCGCCGCGGTAATGGAGCGCGGCTTCCGCCGCGGCCTAGGCCGTGCCTGGACTCGGGGATGTGCAAAAGCCGCTTCACTCCCCCCCGCCCTCTCCCCGCCTGTTGAGATGCCTAGCTCCCAAGCTGAGCTTTAGTCACGCATCTGGGAATAGTTTCGGGTGCAATCGGGAGCCCTAGATAAGAGTAAAGCGAGAGACGCCAGTCTGCTGGGTTGTGTCCGCCCATGCGGAGAATGGCGGGGAGGAGGGGGGTAAAGAGGCCCGTATAGTTCAGCTGTCTTTGTTATCCCTCATTGCGTTTATTTTCTGCATTTTTAGAAGTGTGCTTTTCTTTAACACGCCTGCCATTATTCAGTATACTTACTGTATACTTAAAAAAATCCAATAGCATTTGCTTGGGTGTCAGTATAGAAGGCTACATGTTTTAAGAGTTCATTGTGGTGGAAATATTAATTCCGGTCATTAGTATGTAGTTAGTCATTAGCATAAGTATTGTGAAACATTGACTCCATCATGCAGAAACTAACTGGAACCCCTAAACGTTGTTGCTTAAAGTGGTGAAATATGCCAATTGTGAAATATCTTGGGTTTTCGATGACTTTCTAGTTTCTGGATTGTCAGCCATTGGTACTTAGTTAACTCTTCTCCCCCGGACTGGTAACACTCCCTTATCTTAAGTTCGGTGCTCTGCTGTTGCCCATCTCTACTTCAACTGTATAGCACACTGGCTGGCTTCTTACGCAACTTAGCATGCCCTGAGATTCTAGCTTCCCCCTAAACGCAGTTGACTGACTGGAAGAAAGGCTGGAACCCTAGTACAATTACAGAGGAGGCTCGGAACCATTGTTCAGAGTCTCTTTGGTGGGATGGAAACTAATACTGAAAGTGACTGCTTCAGCAGCACTTCTTGTATACCTCCTACCAGTAAATAGGAAATACTGTGCTGGGGGTGGGTAGGTGTGAATTGTGCATCAGGCTATGTTTACACCAGGGGTTCTCAAACTTTATTGCACCCCATCCCCTTCCAACAACAAAAATTATTACATGGGAGGGGATGACCGAAACCTGAGCCCTTCTGCCCCAGGCAATGAGCCCCCACCACCCAGGGCTGAAGCCCTTGAGATTCGGCTTCTACCCCAGGCAGTGGGGCTTGGGGCCTCAGGCCCCAACAACGCTAAAGCCAGCTCTGGGATCCACAGTTTGAGACTGCTGGTCTACTTTAAGGACCTTACAACAGCAGAGCTGTACCACTGCAGCTGTCCTGCTGTAAGGTCTCCTACGTACCCACTCTGTGCCAAGGTGAGAGAGCTGGCCTAGCTAAACCACCCACCATGAGTGGTGGTAGCTATGTTGGACATGGCACTTTTCTTAGTGAAAGGTATATTGGTCGGGTATGAGCCTGCCCCAGCCTTGAGCTTACCCGCAAAAGTGCTATCTAGACCAAGCCTTAGTCCTATCTGCCCGAACACACACGACCTTAAGACCTTAACTTTTGTGTGGCGTGACAATAGGGCATTTGCAAAATCAGTGCATTCGTTGTCTGTTACAAGAGACCTCTATTTTCCTCTTAAAACATGTAAAAAGCCATATGGGTGTAAAAAGTGAGGCTCAAACAAACTTTTATGATCGATGGGTGAGTTAGGGGAAAAGGAAAATGGTCAGATGCAGAATCAGGGCTAAAGTTAACAAGGCCTGAATAGCAACCAACATCAGGAGTTTTATAGTAATATTACACATTGAATAAACTTAATTTATATGTACAACAGTCCAGACGGTGGGTTTCCTAAAAGGTCTTTAAAATTTCAGACAGTCTGATCATTCTTCTTAATATTTAAAGATTAAGACTTGAAAAAGCTTTGGACCTGTTAAACAAGAAATCTACATGATTGAAGTGTTTCAAAAAATCTTGTAACAGTTTGTAACAAGAACAAAACTTGTTACTGTGAAAGCCTCCACACATAGCTCTACCTATACATACACCCTTGACCTGAAATGCCCCTCTCTATTTGTGATAATGGCTTTATATTATAGGATTTATAACTTGGTACTGCACTTGAGTGGATTTCCATGAAGTCTATCCTAAATGAGTAACAATAATGCCCTCCTGCTCCTACCAGAAGAGGAGCAGGATGTGTGTTTGAGGGAGAGGGGAAAATCCAGTCCTTAGCATGCTGGATAGAGTTAAGTATTGGGGCTTTCAGATGGCTATACAGAGAGACTGGAATATATATTTAAAATGAGAGAAGGGCTTTGACTTTAGGGGGTGGAGAGTAGAATATGAAATTAAAGTGGCTCTTAAACTGTAGGAAGAGGAGGGGAAAAAAACAATGGGATATGGTATAGGATTCTTGTCTAACATGCAAGGTTATTGTAGTAGATGGGTATCACCACATTAGTTAAGTATCTTTTTTGTAAGATCCTAGTGGAGACAGGATAAGCAAGTATAATGTTGATCTTGTCTAGCTATCTTAGTAAAAACTACAGGGAGCCTGTCTCCACTAGGTTTTACAGCTAGATACATATCACCCTTACCTCTGGGGGAGGGGACAATTGGCAGTGAAGATGAAGCCTTACGGGTGCAAGTTGGTCACTTGGTCAAGAGGTTCCTCGGTCATATCTCCACTAACCCCCCTCCCCCCCCAACAAACAAACACCCTGATTTTAATAATCCTGTGTAGGGGAGTCATCTCAGCTTAAAGTAAGGGACTGGGAGGTGAGGGAAAATCTGTTTGATGATAAATCTAGTATGGCTTCTGCTACTGGTTTGCTGTGTAGCCTTAAGCAAATCACTTGGGCCTTATCTAGAGTGGGGGGACGGATGACATTAAACTAGCTCTGGCTACCTGGTAAAGGTAGTAAACTGTGTAGACACTGGTGTCAGTCAAATTAAATTAACTCAGTTGAGCTAGGTTGATGGGAAGGAGAATGCATTTTTCCTCCTAGTCAGTGCCATAGAGTCCAACTTTATGGTGCTTAATATTAATAATTAATATCCATGTTTCCATTGAAGCCACCTAGAGTTGTTGTGCCCTTAACCTTTCTAGTCTATCTCAGTCCGTTCCCCCCCACTGTACAGGGTACTGCCTGGATCTTCAGACAGCTACTTAAGTGTTTATAATGCTATCTGAAAAGCAATATGTAATGGAGAGTGGTGTGCACTAAAGAGTCACAGTCCTTATATAGAGGAGACCCAAACTGATCCTATTTCTTGATTATTATTATTTTTATTTTTTTTGTCTTGTTTTCTACCCAGTATCTGGCTTAAATGAAACTAGAAGGTAATATCAAAGGAATAAATGCTGACAATCCCAAGAGTTTAACTATTTATTGTAGCATCTAGGGACCCCAGTCCTGTTGTGGTAGTCTTTGTACAGTGCTACTGTAATCACAGTTCCTGTACTGAAGGTCTTACACTAGAGACAAGAAAGGGGGTGCATGGTATGGAGTTCACTATAAAACTTATCACCATTGTCAAGTATCAGAGGGGTAGCCGTGTTAGTCTGAATCTGTAAAAAGCAACAGAGGGTCCTGTGGCACCTTTGAGACTAACAGAAGTATTGGGAGCATAAGCTTTTGTGGGTAAGAACCTCACTTCTTCAGATGCAAGCATCTGAAGATTCTTGCAT